AACTAGTTAAACAGTTGAAACATAATCTTCCTGTAACCCACTTTCACCATACTGACTGGGCACTTGTAGATAATTACTGTCCTCATCTCCCCACCACTTTCTTGTACGGAATCGGATCGACTTGGACATAGCGGCTAATCCATAGTTATGTTCCGCAGATACGCATATAATATATCTGAACTTTAAGTTAGTTTGTTCAATCGGATAACGTAACCTTGTGCCAGGCAATAGATCTGTGAGAGTGAATCGTGTGGATTGCCCAACTTTATACCTATTCCAATAAGGAAATTGTGGAGCTGGCTCTTGTGCGAATTGGATAACATAACTCTGAATTAAGCTATCAAAATATAAATTTTAGTTTCGTTATACCTCGGGTCCGTTGTTCATTTTCGGAGGGCGCCATGATATGGTTGCCGTCTCACTACTGACAGCATCCAATCGAACAGACTGTGGAACAGTACAAGGTTCTGGAAAGATAATTAAGACATTGAGACATAGCAGTTATATACACACCAGTGTACTCTTGAGTTCTGGCAGGTTTACTGCTACCATATCTAGTAGTTGTAGATACACTGAACTCATATAGCGTGAACGACTTCAATCCGGTTACAAGATATTTCTCAGCATTGATGAAATCAACTACCACAACATTGCATCTTCTTTGCGGAGTTCTACGCATAGAGGATAAAAGAGAAAAAAGTATCTTATATCACCTTGTTTTAAAAGTCAATGTATACCAATACCTCTTTCCCTCTTCCACATACACAGGGGGTTTCCATCTGCGATATATACTTTCCCTGTTTATCAACTTGATCAAACCTCAAAAAAACGGAATCTGCTGTCGCATTGGAAGCAACTAAGTTTCTCGGTGATTCTGGAGGAGGTGACAAATTGGGATCCTCAAATGTTTCATATGTCGTCAAATGTTTGAAAGCTAAAAAATAACGATCATTGCAAAAAAAATGATGATTAAGCACTTGTGAAACGAATGTGATGTAAAGCAGTGACCGTTTCAAAAAGCTTCCGCATAGCCTCTCTCTTCATTGCTTCAATACGTTTTTGTTGAACAGCTTTGAGCCATGATAATGGGTCCTAAAAGTTTAACATATAATTTAGAGAGAATTAATGAACATACATCATCTAGACGTCTACCAAAGAAGTGAAGACGATCAATGTAGTATGCTCCTACCACATCAACACAGGTTGTTGTTAAAACCAATCCAATCAAGATCAAGATCAATACTAACAAGATGAACGCATCATTGCGAGGGACAAGGTCTAAAAAGCTTTGAATTCTCACAATGTCTCATCATAACATTTACCTCCAAAACCTATTGTCAAAACACTCATCATTACAAAGTAGAAACCGTCTGATGTTGTCCAGTTTTCAACGCTTGCTATGATGTATGAAGATAAGGCGATATAAGCAAGAAGTATCCCTATAAGAGGAAACATATTAAATAACCTAAAAGCCGTTGCTCCGACCTATTACTAGAACGAATGGAACTTCCACAAATTGAGCATGTTCTAAATGAGTCCAAAGAAACTCAGCAACCTGTATTAATGTAATAGTTATACTAGAATAATCACCAACTTCGTCTTCTCCTCCAGCGATTATAACCTGTCCGATTCTAACAGAGTCTCTACGTAACCTTCCTGCCCTCCATCGCTTGAATTTTCTCCTAATGTGAAACTTGCACTTCAAAACTTCCGTATAAGTGCGGTTCATAAATTCCGTACAGAACTTGGCCTAAGATCATTGAGTATGAAAACTAATCTGGTTTAAAACTTTTTTTTTTACCAAATCAGCCAATGTAATCAAATAAAGTGGTATGCCAAAGAAGAGGTACAATAGGCAGAATAAGCGACCAGCACTGGAATCGGGAGCATCTGTTCCATATCCGATGGAAGTCAACGTTGTCGCCGCAAAGAACAGATTCCAAGTAACGTTTGACAAAGGATAAATGATATCTCCAACTTCCTGTAAGGCTCTCAGCTACATATCAATAGATTTCCATGTCTTACAGTGTTGTTCGAACTCCAGGCATATGGTGATCCTTGGTATATGTTATGAATATCAGTTACATAAGTCGAAAAGCGTTTTTCAACTCTCGATGTGTTCCGGCTTGACCCAATAAGAGAAACCAAGTATTTCGTGAAATTACCCTTTGTTCTAAAACAATAAAAGAAGTGAAGTTATGATATTTTGTGAAACTTTTCAAGAAGGTCTGGCTCTTGGGTTGATTGGTCTGAGTACTTGATTACTGTTAAAATCCATCCACCAAAAGCTGCATAAATGATTGAAACTAGTAGAAGTGTGACATGTGGTAAGGCTAATCTGAGTACCTGAAATAAATTATGAATAATAAGCTTTCAAACTCATTTCCAACTAAATTTTCATTCTTTCTAATTGCTAAATGCTCAAAAAGCTGAGAATAGGCAAATATACTATATTTACTAGATAACTTACAGCCTTCTTAACTCGATTGGTCGTCGACCAAAGAGATGAATGGGATGAATGAGATAAAATAGAAGCAGAGCATTTGGAAGGATAGATGAACGAATGGATGATATTCCCGTCGTCTTTCAGCATCAGGTTGGTTTACTTTTAATCGTTTTCTTATCGATTTCCAAAAATTGAAAGCAACCAGAATAGTAATGAAGAAGAGAGTGGAAGAGAGAGAAAACTAGAAAGAAATAGAGTGATACTTTCTCAAAATAGATAGGCTTAAAGACTAGTTGAAGCAATAGTCTGAGTAAGTTCAAAAAAAGGAATGGTGAAGCAAAGAAAAGCAGTTTAGTTGAAATCGAAAATAATATGAAAACTTTTTTTCATAATAGATTCGTCTTTTAAGAAGCTTCATTTTTTATAATGTAATAAATCAACGATTCTTTTTATTAACATTGGTCTTGAGGGAATTATGATTGGTTAGCATAAATATAATAGTTATGGTCGAATATAGGATAGGAACTTGCTCCATTGATTATGATATTGTGTTAAGCTTATACAAGTACACCAGAGTATGCCCATATTCGAATAAAGACGCTATCAAACGGTTGCGTTTTTCAATTTTTTTTGTTTGTTCTTGCGAAATGACTATCCTTCTAGACTTCCTTATATGTTTCATGATCATGTTGCTTACCAACTGCTTGGTTAAACCGAATTGTCCAGGTGTTAATTCCGAAAATCTGCACAATCCACTTTGCATCATTCCACACATCTCCGACGATGCCGCCGGACTTGACCGACCCGTACCTGTATAATCAAAAAATAAAGTTTCGAAGTAAGTATGTGTGTAGCTAGTTATTATGAGATGAGCAAAAAAATCGGAAAAGCACTAAAGAGACAAAGAGAGACCAACTAATAGATTAGATAGACCAAGTTGGTAAAAGCTAGTGTTGAAACTGAAAATAAAAGGAAAGATGCAAATAAACTGGATGAGATTTTGAAAATATAAAAATAAAGAAGAGTCAAACCAGGTCGTCTTTGCATGTGATGAAGAAACATCCAGAACTAGAAGTAGAAGTTCTCCAGGGAAATCTGGGTTTCAAATTAAACGATTGCTCTAGACGAGAGAAAGCCAGAGAAGTTTATTGTCATTGCTATTAGTTTGAGACGCGGAAGACAAGGAAGTATTCACCTGAAAAATATGAATCAAAAGTATCAAGAAGTTCTATTTTTGAATAGTTTTATTGTCTCTATGGAAAATGAGATCACATGCGGAAGTCTGTTATGAAGATAAGTGAGATATTCTATTTGCCGATAGGAAAGCTTGTATCATCGGACTTGTTGGACAAAAAAAAGTTTTAATAAATGAGGAATCAACTTATGAAATGAATGAGCTTCAAAAACAAACACTTTCGGTGATGTTATCATCCAGAAAACAGACAGACAAGGTTTAGAATCCTATAAAGAAGGTAAAGTAGAAATATTTGGGTAAATGTGAACCCAAGACTAGAATAGAAATAAGACGGATGCCAATAATCCAATAAGGGCAAAGAGGAATTTCCTGTGAACATAGAAGACAGCAGGATAAAAGCTGTCAGAGAAAACAGAGTAGAAGAAAACATGGATGAAGGAGGAAGAATGATATGTCAGAATAACATTATTGAAATAAAAATTTATTTTTTTCATTTAATAATAAGCATATGTAATACTGTACAGAACTATGAGCAAACAATATATTGATTGATATAATTGTATATGAAAAATAATTTTTAAAATATTCGGGGGGAAGTGTATGAGATGTAGTTACCAGAAAACAAAAACCTGCATTTATCACACGATGCTGTTTGTTACAACTCTTAAAGATTACTCGTATTATTATCGCCGTTTCCCCTATTCAAAGCAATGGTTTTCAAATTCTGCAAAGAAAGAATTGGAATTTGGTAAGCTGTTTCTTTGCTTACCTGAGTTGCTGTGCTATCAATTGTGATGTATTGTAGATCAGATGAGCGTTGAGCATCCTCTGATTTCGCATTCCTTTCCAACGTTACAGATGATGATAAAGGCTCAAAATAATCTAAATCCTTTCGACTAGGTATTAATCCGGCACTCTATAACAACTATCATTGATATATTATTTCTCAATCTGTAACCTTCGGATGTTCCATTGTTTTCTTACGCGGCACGGGCATCTTGCTGATAGGTGTGTTCAGCATACTTCCACACGTTCTACCTTCTTCCAAATCTATGCGTAAGTTGGGAGGTTTCTGAAAATGAAACATTGTTGGAAAAATGTCTTGTCTTCTCTACCTTAGTTCTGTCAACTGGCGGAGCATCTGCATCATTTATTGTTGGATATGTCAAGCAAGAGGTTGAGAGGGATAATGTCGGATACGAGCCTACAATAGATGTATCAGTTATTGAACATCTTTCGTTTCACCTTTGATGGGGGAAGCCAGGCCTAAGTTATTGCGTGTCAGTGATAGATTACATGAACTACTTAAAAACATTTCAATCAGACAAGAAAACATTCGTTCACGTACGCTTTGATTGTTTCACCACTACCAAGTCCATTTGTAAGTAATGGAGAAAATGCTGTGCTGCCCGCCTCAGATAACTGAAATCATTCAACTCAAACCAAAAAAAAAGAAAAAGTAAGACTTTGGTTCCCGTTGCTGAGGATGCAGAAGACATTTGCTTTTTGAGCAATTTGCGCGATAGACTGAAAGAAAGTTATGAGCTAACTGAATAGATAATTGCTATCAACCGTGGAGGCACAGTAGGAACCCCATTGGCTGCTGATCGAGCACTATGCACACTACTAGCATCATCCTCTGTTGTTCCACTTTGATGTGAAGAAGATAATGAGCAACCAGAAGCAGAAGAACATGTTCTATCTGAAACACGAAAATGAAAACAACTATTAAAAATTTGTTCAAAAAATTAGATATTACAGTTATTTTTCCTCTAAAGGACTACAATCATCACTAGTTCATATGTAAGCACTTCATACTATTAACAAAAGGTCTGGGCCGAACCGGGAGTCGAACCCGGGACCTCTCGCACCCGAAGCGAGAATCATACCCCTAGACCATCCGGCCACTGGTTGCCGCGGCAGAGCAAAACGACATCACCCTACTATGCAGTAAATGCAAACAGAGACAACAACAGACATTGAAAATAAGCAAAACAACGTGCAAAGAAGAATTATAAAAAAACATATAATTGAATAAAGCTTACTATGTCGGCTTCCAGCACTTTTTTTGCTCTGTAGTGGCCTCAATTCGATTGCAGCATTTCTATGACCCATCCTTGAGAGATTTTTCATTTGGAAGAAAGTCATATTACGCATTGGCTAAAACATAGAATGAAACAATGGAAAAAAAAAGAAAACAACATTTTTTGTCCCTGTTCGACTTTCAGATGTGACATCACTTAATGGTCCATCCAGAAAGCTGTCGATAGAATGATCGGATGAAACAGACATGTCATTAAACAACTGTGGGACATCTTAACATAAATGAATATAACAGCTATGGACAGCACGAATAATACCATTCTCATTACAAGAATATGGATTATGATGAGATGTACCTGTTCGTTTCTCCAAATGACAGAATCGACATATTTTGCGCACCCAATCTCCCATTTCCTACAAAATATTCAAAACATTAAAACAATTGTGTGATTGTAAACTAACTATTTCATCTTTTGCCACAAAAATTACTTCAGATCTCTTAAGAGAATGTGGTTTACTTAAATGTATTGAGAATATCCATTTGAATACAGCAAATGAATTAATACATGATGAGTCGGACAGTTGGAGATGAGACTCAACCTCAATATATGGATATGCTAGAGCTGTAAAAGGATAAGTGCCATACTTGCTCACAACGATCTAGGTCATGTGTCTTGATGAGTGTTTTTTTTGATTCTTCTTTAAATTCATCCAAAAAATATCGTTTAGTTTCAGCAAAGCCTTCACTTCGTAAAACAAAAAATCTTTTGATCCATCTTGACTGTAACGATAAGAAGTTTTAAAAACTAAACGAATGAGTACATACTTGAAGTGGAGCTATGAGCCATCCGCTGTCTCTTAACCGTGTTAGCCAACCCTCATGATGTACCATAGTTCCCATGTTGAAAGCACTGATGAATAATTTATAAAAACGAAAAAAAGACAAACAGTTATGAGTACCTCATGATTCATTTGTATTATGTAGACGATGAGTTCGTCTCAGATAAATGATGATTAAGTCTCTGAATTAGAATAATCCTAGAAGATCAATTACACAGTGAAATGAACAGCGACGTTGAAGAAAATCAATAAGAAAACCAGGTATGGTATAGAAGACGCGCGCGCTATCGCTAGCGAGAAGAATCGTATTAGTCACAGAACGAAATATGCACTAGCCAAGGCTATTTTTAGATGAAAATAAGATGGTTACAATGGGAGAGAGATAGAGAGAGAGAGAGAGGGGGGATGTGATATGAAAAGAATCAGCTATGCATATAATAATCATTGACTGAATGTTAATGATAATGAAGCTAAAAAAAAAAGAAAAAAAAGAAAGTTTTGGATGAGAAGCAGCTTTACTGAACAGCGAGAAAGCGCGCTAATTGCCGATCTTCGATATGAAGAATGAAAGAACAGATTGTTATCAACAAACTTTCTTTTTTTTTTATGATATTCTCGACAAACATCTTGCTAATATGGAGCATAGTTAATATCGGTAGAATAGAAGAAGATAAGAGAAGAGAAAAAAAATTATTAACTCTCATGTTCATTATGAAATGAAAAGGTGAAGACAGAAGATTAATTATGACTATAATTAATTCGATTTGTGTCGGTATAGCATTTCGTTCATGCGTACAGAGTTCTGCGGTCATGATTCCGGTTCCCTCTCGGGGGTTTTTTTCCTTGATTTTTGTGTAAAACTGATGCTATACCGCGCTCTCTTCTGATTTACGATTGAAACGAAACATCTGAAGAAGGCAGCCAAGCGATTGTGAAAATGAAAAGAAAAACAATTTTTTGGATGGAAATTTCATGATTTTCTCTATCAACCTGCCACCAGATCAAAAAGATTTTTTTTATGTCCAAAATTGACAACGAAAAAGGCATGTAAGAGAATGAGAAAAAAAAAAGCAAAAAATGGAAAAATAAGAAATAAGAGAGTTTAAATGAAAGAGAGTAATAAAGTAAGAGAGAGAGAGAGAGAGAGAGAGAGAGAGAGAGAGAGAGAGAGAGAGAGAGAGAGAGAGACAGAGAGAGAA